ACGAGCAGCTGTAAGCAGAGATAACTTTTTTAATTATAACTTCACAACACCAATCTCATCACTTGCTTATGCTTTTCCAAACTATTCTTTATAAATTTGGGCCCTTCATTCTAAGCCTCAAAAACTGCATCCAAAACTCCATGCACCTTTAGACAGTGCAAAGCCAAATGTGCATTTCAGAAATATCCAAGTCCCACGAACCTCTATCCAAGACTTATGCTCTACCCATAATACCTCCAACCCCGGTAATAAATAACTATACCCTCTCTAGGAGTTTTTTTTTTCTAATTGCAATGGAAGTTGAAGATCTGATTCATATCGAGTGAGATTACAACTGGGCAGAGAATCAAACACAAAATAACATTAACATTTACCATATACATTTACATACGAACCATTACATCTGTTACTAAGTTAATCTCATACATAGGACCAACAAACTACTCTAACCTCACTAGCACTTAAGAAAAGGAAAAGAAAGAAAATATTTCTTGAGACACGAATGACAGAAACACTGAACACTTAGCCTAGTTTCTGCCCACTCATCATCATCCTCGTAAACTCGTTCAAGTCAATGAAACCATCTCCATTTCCATCCACTCCTTTCACCATTTTTTTGCATGCACTAAGGCTGCAACTCTCTCCTAGCCTCTTCAGAACTTGGGACAACTCCTGAGCACTGATCTTCCCATCACCGTTCAAATCAAACAATTGAAAAGCATTCTTGATATCCGCTTCTTTAATCCTACCCTCTCCGTTGACCATCTCCACGAACTCTTTGAAGTCTACGAAGCCATCCCCATCAGAGTCCATCACCCTAAAACCCTTCACTGCTTCAGCTTCCCCAATGCCCCTATCTAAAGCCCTTGCTGCAGCCTTGTATTCTTCAAGTGAGATCTTCCCATCTTTGTTGGTGTCAAATTTCTCGAACACCCATTTCATTTCCTCTTCTTTTGGTTGGAAACTTTGTCCTTCATTATTCGATCTCTGTCTTGAAATGAAGCTGTTCTTCTGGGCTAAATGATTCCGTGAAGAGGAGGGCTTCCATGAGAAGCTATAGTTGAACTTGAGGAAACTCAAATTCGACATGTATATGTTTCAGGGTAAAAAGATACACAGATATCAGGCTTTAGTATGATTATGAAGGCTACTGCATCATGGTTTATTTATATAGATAACCTTCCTCCTTTGGATTCCCTCGAGGCTCAAGATATTGTTTACAAAGAAAAGCAGTAGAATCTGAATAAAGACTCATTCCAATGCCCGGAGTTTAAACTCTGGCTGATATATATGTTTTATGCTACATTCTTTAGGAATATTGTTTCTCCTCACACGCTCACGCTGTTTATTGATGAACACTAGTTTGGTGAAGTTAGAATATTTTTTTGATTGGTCAGAGTTGACATAGGTGGGTGTTGTGTTAGGTTGAAATGCAATCTACGTTAGACGATTCCCTTCGATCTTTTTGGTAAAACCGTGTATTCATCACATACAGAGCTGAACGAATCCTATTCTTTTGTCACTTGTTAATATTTGTGATGATGTACATGAACCTTTCTTTCTTTTCGACTTGATGATTGGAGAGATTCATTCCCGTTACGTAAATTTTTAATGTATATGCAATTTTTTTATTTCATTCGTATGAAGTTCACACTGGATGATGACACTCATCTGAAGCTCGCCCATATATTCTCCTTACCACTCAACTATTTGCAATTGAAAACTTTCTTGAGTATATATTAACTCAATTTTAGTTGAGCCACGAGTTGTATAGATGCAAGCATCAAAGTAAAAACATGACAATGACAATAACAAGTGGCAGAGAAATATAAGGCCATGAAGAGTCCTAATATCTGTCATAGTTTTAAACTGATCCCTCACAATTCTTAATCGAACAATGTCTTCTTCCTATTCATTCATGGATAGAGGAGCGTTTAATTTAGTATAACTGATCATGACACAAACCTTATCCTAGGTAATTGCGAAGACCATATGATATTTCTATTTTCAGTTTATTTCAACAATATCTTTCGAAATTTTTTACTTTTAAATTGCATAATTAAAAAAAGTTTAAACTCTTGAATGATCCTCATATTTGTATGAGAATATTAATTGGGTCCTCATATTTGAAATTGTCTCAATTGGGTCATAATATTTGTAAAATTGAGTCAATTTTATACTATCCGTTAAGTTGTCCCAAACACCCGTTAACTTGAGTTGAACTGTATTTTTTTTATAGCGTGACATTATGCATTAAATTGAATGAGTCATGTATTTTAGGATCATCAAATCCACGTGGCGATGGTGCTTCTTTTTCCCTCCAACCACTTATCACCTTTCACCTCTTCTGCTCCTCCGCGCAAGCTGCTTCCTTCCCACTCCCACCCTCAAACCCTCACTCCCGAGACACACAACCCTTCTCCCTCTCAAAGTAGAAAAAACGTCTGCCATTGGCGTTTGTCGAACTCCTCTTCTCCTACGTGAGTGTTTGTCCAAAGACAACATTGTAAAAGATTGAGAAGGCAAAGAAAAAAAAAGAGTAGAGAAATGAAGGATTCTACGGAGTTTAGCTCTCCCTCCTTGTCCAAGAACAATGTGAGCAAATTCTTAGAAAACCCACTGAGCAATGCCATATTTGTCACTGTTGGAGTCGCTGAAGGCAGAGGAAGAGGAAGCATCGTTGATGCTGCACAGTGCTTAGAGAACCTCTTCTTCCCCAAGACGAAGATAAAACACTTTGGATGTGAGGGATCCTTTAAATTAAATCATATCACCCATTCAATTTAATGCACAATGCCACGCCATAAAAAATTACACCTCAGCTCAAGTTAACGCCGTTTGGGACAACTTAACGGATAGGATAAAATTGGCTCAATTTTACAAATATTATGACTCAATTGAGACAGTTTCAAATACGAGGACCCAACTGAGATTCTCATACAAATATGAGGACATTTTGACAGGTTAAACCTTTAAAAAAACTTTTGAATACCATTTTCTTTCATGAAAAAAAAAACTTACGAGCTGCACAATCTTAAAATATTTTAATTTCTAGATTATGTAATCCAAAGTTTCTTTGAGATTACAATTTAAAACGTTTTTGTGAAAAAAAAATCTTTCAGATTTTACAGAATTAAAGGCTTTCTTCCTTAAATCTATTCATGACACGGCACATGGATAAGAGTGACGCTGACAAGGTGGTGATGGCAAGGGGGCAATTTGGTTTTTTACCATTTTATGGGGCTGCACATAGAAACTGTGAGGGTGCAGAAAGAAATGACCATTACAGTTTACATGTACCAGGCATGCCTGTCGGGCTACAGCAAGCCCATCAAGTGGCCCATGAACACATATTTCAAAGCAAGCTCATCCAAAAACAGTTATGGGTATCCTACATAATAAGGGACAGAGTTTATGTTGCCGCCCAGAGTTGCCTGCTATTAAATACCCTCACGACACCATCCATCGATATAGTGCTTATTTATTAAAATCTGCATGATAGGAACAGATTGATGGCTTCAGTTATTGATTAAAGTAGTAATGTCGGGTGATATATACGAACAAGCACAATGCAGTTTAGAGTGAAGGAAAAATAAAATAAAATAATTATTTTTTCAAACAAAAAGTTTAAAACTTTATTTGTACAAAATTAAAAGACAATAAAATCTAATAAATTTCGAAAATTGTTTCCAAAAGAAACGTTTTACAAATTTACAAACAGAAACAGTCAAGAAATGTCTTCTCAATCTTTTATCTTCTTCAAATATTCTGTTCAAGTGCTTGTTTGTATGACATGAACGTCACTGCCTGGACCTTTCACCAAGACGTTTCACTATACTATTACGATTTATGATGTTTTTTAAGATGACTGTCACTGCCTAACTTCATCAACGGGACAATTTGTGTCCCTTTCATGTTTTATGCACAGGAAAGCTGTGCGGTTAGAATTTTAGCCAGAGTACAGACTCCATTCAAAAAGGTGCTTCAGAAAATCAACCTGTACATTGGTTTTCATTTCTAATGCATAAAAATGCCCCTCATGTTTCTTTGCTTGGAAAATTACTTTTCTTCCTATTTTGGTTTACGTGGGGTCCAAAGTCACCTGCAAACTTTAATTTGATTATTTTACTAATCAATTTAAGATCACCTGCAAGATGCTCCTCACTTAATAACTAGACATATCAGACATAACGTAGGAATAAATATTTACAAATGATCTAATAGTTAAGCTAGCAAAGTCTGATAGACATAAAGTTGATAGGACTAAATGTTTACAAATCCTCTAACAATAGAGAACCTAACAAGCTCGAATAGAATAATTTTCGATATTACTTTTAGAATTTAGCATTGTATTGTCGTTCCTATAAAACCGATTTATAAATTGAAATTATCACTCACTTTTTATATTAACTTGGTCATATCACTAATTAGTGCAGAATCTTCAACCTCCCACAAGGAAATTGTCCAAATTCGTGGAAGCCTAATTGAAAATCGCACAACCCGTACCCTGCAAGAGCTAGGCTAATTAGCTCATAGCAGGGTGATCTCATCGAAAACTGTACACAGTATTAGCACACTTCTTGAATCTGTCTGTGTTTCTATTGCTTCAGTGTTTTCCCAAGCAATGGTCAGGACAAATACAAGGCCTATATTTCAGGCACTTTTATGCTATAAAAGGCCTCTTATTTTTGGCAAAAACTAAGCACATAAATGGCACTGTAAAATTTCACGGCACTTCAACTAGTAAATTTTTCCTTGGCATAGTCTACGTGTTAATGTGAGTGTTCCACTGTCTACATTGCGATACATGCACCACAAATACGCCATGTCAGCATGATCAGTGCTTAGTTGTCAAATGATAAGTTTCCTTCTACACGTTGGGCATTTTACCTCGTGTTTAGCATTTCGCCTCATTCTTAAATTTCTCCCGAAGATATAACCACAAAAGTTATTTCCATTCATCTTTCCGAGAGAGAGAGATGAAAGGGAGAAAACTGGTCTCAAGTGCTTCCTCCCCTCAAATACCACTTTTATCATGTTAAAGTATATATTACAATTATATCTCCGAGAAAAGAGATGATTAAAAAGTGTCATTTCTATCAAATTTCTGTGTTTAATTTTAAATATAAAAGATGTAATCTAGAATGAAAATCTACACATCCAAAATACTAATAAAAAATCAGAATTTTTTTTGCAGCACTGGCTAGTGGACCCACTCTCAGAATATTCGAAGAAATGAGCGAGCCTCATGTCTTCAAACATTCAGGAATGCAAGCGATCAAACTTTGCTTTCTTCAAGAAAGAGCAAAGACTAAAGATCTTCATAAAATGTCAAGAATCTGCAATGTTATAAGATATGTAATTATAAGACCATTGAGGAACCAAAAAGAAGTTTATACAATAGTTTTAAACTAACTGGACAGGAGGACCAATAGGAAAACACAAAAGAGTGTTTCAACCAACAAGTATAAGACAGAATTTCTTGCTCTGAAAAAAAACTAATAGGTATGAATATACTTCAACAAAATCAGAGTGAGATGACTGTCATGTGATCTTCCCATAGTTAGAAGGAAAACTTACTCGCATAGGCATCTCTTGCATGACAATATTGCTGCTCTCTTCAATACTTTTTAGAGTCACCACTTCCCCACCACTAACTACCATATTAATAACAATCCCGTCTGCACATTACTCAGGAATGTTAGCAGCAATACAAAATACAAAACTATCACATACTTGGACAAAAGTTTAAGTACAGTTCCTTAGCTCTTATTTGTGTTGGTTTCAGTCAAAATTGAAAACTCAGCTCGATAATAAAGGCTTACTCTAAGGATTAAACAAAATTTCGAGATAAAAAACTTCAATTTTTGACAAGGAAAATAGAACAAGATAGCCATCAAGGAACGTATCTAGTTTTGGCCACTTAAAAAAGTGCAGAAGTAGGCCATAAAGAAAGGACCGGCTGTTAAAACAAGTTGCCAATCGCCTAGCGTATGTCTCCTGCAGGAAACACCAAAAATAACGAGGAACAAAGAGAGACGATACAGATACTCAGGTACACAATTCACAATACATAAAACAACTAAATCTGCATTCTTCTGGTAGTAAACATGACACATACGAATGCAGACAGCGATGTTGAATATTAGCTGCAAAATTAAAATGTTGTAGTAAGAGAGAGAGAGAGAGAGAGAGAGAGAGAGAGAGAGAGAGAGGAGAGAGAGAGGAGAGAGAGAGAAGAGGAAAACCTTCTTTGCCGGTAACTCGTAGTTAATGAGAAGATGAGCATTCAAGGGAAGTTCGCCAGAAGAAAGGAGAGGGAGGCAGGCGTCTGTTACAATGATCATGTGAGATCTCTCGTCTTTCCCAATATCATCCTCGTCCGGCGCTCCACCGTGATTCGACTGGCTCCACCGTGCTGTTACCTGTCGAAATTTCTCTAAAAGAGAAGCGCGTTCATCTTCAGCGAGATCACTATACTGACATGCGGAAAAGGGAAGCGGAGGATAACAAGAGCGAATTAGGAGAAAAAAATTAGTTGACGCGTAGGCGTGGGAATTGGGAGGAAGTGAATGAGTTGATGATGGGAAAATAGAGAGAGACCAGAGCAGAGGAGGGGAAACGAAGGGGAGAGTGGAGAGAAGAGGAGCAGAGAGAGTCGAGATCGTAGCGGTGCTGCAACAGACCACGATGGGCAAGGATGGACGTCGAGCCACCAGATCCACAAGTTCGATTACCGTTTGCTGCGATATGTCGATCGTTTTAGATAATAAAAAATCCGAACAAAATTTGAAAATGAGAGAGAGAGAGAATACCATTTTGAAGTGGAGCCTGTCAACTGCGAGGTAAAAATGACGCGGGTGGCTGAAAATGAAGGAGAGGGGAGAATGTGTATGAATGTTAAATGGAAGTTAAAGGGGAAACGGGCAGGAGAATGGAAAGAAGAGTACCCAAACGGTGCCGTCTGAAACGGCGGAGACGAACCGTAAACGCTGTCCATCGCCATAGTAGAGGAGAGGAGATGCTTCTTCACCCTGCACTCTCTTTCTCTTCCACGCTTTTAATGTTTTTGTTAGGTTTAAGAGTAATCCTTCCTTTTAGAAAAAAAAAAGTTAACTAACACCCATGTTTGTTAAAAAATGTTTTGGTATCATACAGTTCCAAATATCGTAAACACGTCACACACGTTAATAGATACATTTAAATGATTTTTTAATTTAAAAAAAAATCTTTATCACGTTATCATTATTATCTCCAGATAAACTTAATTCTTTTCCGAAGAAACCTTAGCCGTCATACCATCCAGCATCGTCACTGTCATCATCGTCGGTAGCCGTCCTCTTCAACGCATCACACGCCACCACCAAAGTTATGCGACGAGAAACATTAGGTCTCCACAATTTGCTTGCAGGTCTGATTGTGGTTACAGGTGGAGGCAAGCAGCAGCGCGATTAGTTGTGGAGAAGAGTGGCGATTCCCGATCTGCAGCAGCTGGCGATTTGGCTGGTGGATAGTGGTGGACGATTCTATGGTGGAGATTGGACGGCAGTGCTGCCGACGCGATGACGATTTGGCTGGTGCGAGGGTGAAAATGGTGAAGACTGGTGGTCGAGACATAGAAAGGGATCGCGTTGGATGGTGGCGCGAGAACGAAGGTGAGATGCGAAGGTGATGAAGGTGCGACAAAAGGGAGAAGACGTTTTGGTGGTGGCGTGTGATGTGTTGGAGAGAACGACTACCAGCGAGGATGGCGATGACGGCACTAGATGGTGCGGCGGCTAGAGTTTCTTGGAGAAAAATTAGGGTTTGTCTGGAAATGTGATGATGACATGGCATTTGCACCGTTATGTTTTTAACGAACATTTTTTAAAGAAATATGAAATTTTACTGAACTTTCTTAAAAGATATGATTATTTTGAACCAAACCCTAAAAGTAGGGACCAAAATTATGTATTAAACTTTTTTATTATTATTTCTTTTGTTATTCAAGTTTTAAAAATGTCTTCACGGCAATCATTTTTTTTTATGTTTTTTTTCCTTAAATTACTTTTTTTAACGCAAAATGAATATGTTAATTCTAACAATTAAATTTTAGGAATGTTAAAATTGAAGTTGAAGTATATACGTGGCTTAAAATTTGATGACAACCTAAACTTTATAAAGAGGATGAACAAAATTCACTACTCAAGTACATGACTTATTATTTAGTGCAACCTTTCTCTCACAGAATCAACGTGTTTAATTTTAGGAAGGGAATACTATTCTTTTTGACCAGTCTTCATCTGAATCTGCATTTCAATGTTCACATACGGCGGTGTCTTGTACTTTTTCATTTAGTTTGTCGATAGTTTCACCAAGTGAAGTGAAAGTAAACCCAATAATATTTACAGAATCCAAACATAATCGTTAACATCAACCAAGCTACAGAATGCCTTACATAAAAAAATAAAAACATATATGGTACTGTGCTTTCCAATCATACAAGGATTGACCTAGGTATATACATCATTAAATTTAAAATTAAATTAAAATAATAACACAACCTAGACACGTGGAGGAAGTAGAGCAGAGGCTGTCGCATTTGGTCTTTTTACCCAAACATAATTATCGCTCAGCCTTTTACTTTTTCATTATCCTATTCCTTCCTTAATTACCTAAAAGGAAAAAATCAAATTGTTCTTTGTTCGTTGATTGGTCAGTTGCAAACCTTATTGCTAGTCATGATGAGATTTATAGGTTCAAAGTCAACAACGGGCTTGGACTCCTTGAGGCGAGGCCCACCGAAGCCCATTTGGTCTTCGCGCGCTCTCTTGTGGTTGTTGTTTCTTTTGTCTGCTAGTGTATCCTCTTTCAACCAAACACCAAACAGTTTCAAACACTCCCCACCACCTTCTTCACCTACCGCCTTCTCAGATCCGCAACTTCCTTGCCGCATGATGCGATCTATCTGATCAGGACCCACCATCAGACGGTTCTTGAGAAAAGCAACGAGCTCATCGCACTGCTTCCTCGCACGTGCCAGCTCGCAACTCAGCGTTTCGTTATCCTTCTTCAGTTTCTGGTTCTCGCTCGATAACTCATGAGAAGCTGTTGTGTTTGTTTCCACCAACCCCGTGTTCTTCGAACCGGAGGAGGATGACGAGGTAGAGGTGGACCCAGCGTCATCTCCACCGCCGGAGTTTAACGGAGAGTTACCACCCCCGCTGGATTTTCCGGCCTCCGGTGGAAGCGCATGCAATTGCGGCACGGTCTTGCGGCGTTTAATGTCGCAGAGAAGCTCCTTGTGCCCTCGCTTGAAATGTTCGTTTGCGAATTCCCATTTATCTGGCACAATCTTTCGGAATCCCTGCAATCTCAAAATCGCCGATTTGTTATTATTATTTTTAATGATTGGCTGTTAATAATCATCATCATTATTAATAATAATAAATGGTAATCATATTTATTGATTGATGTTTTCATTTCCCTTTTTCCCAGAATAATTATACATTTCAAGCTCATTAAATTTGCTCTTCCCTATCATATATCGGATAAAGTATACCATACTTAGATATCAATTTAACTCAAGATTTTTTGCAGGCTAAATGTTGCACTCCAAATGTTTTCGAATATAGTAGAAATTAGTAAGAACTTAGTAGAAAACCATTTTTTTAATTCAAATGTCTGAATAATTAGTATTAAACTTTCAATAACGATCACACAACCACTTATTAAAAAATATTTGTATATTTTTATTTTAATCATTTAAATGAATGAAAAACCCGATAAAGTTTCTTTAATCAATACAAAAAAATTGATCGCTTAAAAAATGAAATGAAAAATATGATCATACTAAATAATTCTACATTCTCGGTAAACAAAGTAATCCATATTTATTTAAACCACTTTATCTCCTAACTGGCAAGTTTTAATCCCTGTTTTTAGTTTCTAGGATTTGCCTGTTTACACAGAAAAGGGCAGAGTAATTGATGATCTCACAGGTATAGGTGGAAGTAGATGTAAGGAGAGAAAGAAAGAAGAAACATACGTAGGTGTTGAGCTGGCGAACAAAACTGGAGAAGTTATTGTGCTTGAAACATTTAGGAAGCAAATCCTTGGCAAATTCCGCATGTTTCCACACAACAAATGTGTTCCCACTGTCACTCCACGATATCACCTCGTTCGTCCCTGGATCATCCACCAACTCATACGTCTTCGTCAAAAACGGTGCCGGCACAGATCGTTGCGACATGATTTCACCCTCACAAATCTCTTCTTATTACAATTATTCTAAATAAAAAAAAGTATAGAGAGAGACAGAAAAAAAAATAGAGTGAGAGGGAACTTATTTAGGAGGAAGAACTGAAAAGGAGGAGAGCTGTCAAAAACTCCCAATCCCAGCAATAAAAGCCAGAAAGGAAAAAGCGAGAGTGAAGGAAGTTTTTGGAAGGTTTTCTGGAATGATCAGAATCCATGAGTCAAAATCTGAAAATCAATTACCATAATTTCACGACACAAAAGGATAAAGTACCGTGAATACTTTTGTTATTCTCCTCCTCGAGGATTCTAGGACGAGAGAGACTCTTAAATAATACGGAACCAAACATATTCCAACCCATGTGACGTGTGGGTTCTAGAATTTTTTAGAAACTTACACGGATAAAAGAAAATGGCAATGTTTATTTTGGACCAAACCAAAACTCAATCCACACGTACGCAATAACAGGGAAGAAAACTTTGCTTTACACAACAGTGGATTGGATAAGGAGGCAGCAGAAGAGAAGCATTATCACACACGCTTTTCACAAGGGTCGTCTTTGGCTTTCTCTCGTGCAAATTGCGTTTTCACTTCCTACATTTTCTAAACTGAACTTTCTAATACGCTTACATGCTTGAAAACTTTTCCATCTTAGTTATTGCTTATCTTGACATAAAATATATTGTTTTAATAGACGGTGTAAATATTTGTAAAAATTACAAAAATTAATTAATTTAAAAAATATTATATTCGGTAGAGTTAATTTTATATTTGTATTTATTTTTGATTGGAGGGTAAAGGCAAGTGGGAAAGAGGGCTTTCTCTCTGCTCTCACCTAACTCTGCATTCATCGTTATTGATATTTTAATTATTATTATTACTAATGTTGTTATGATTAACTTGTCATGTTTCATCAATTGGTCGCCCCATCCACTTTGTCCATTTTTTTTGTTAGACCTTTTCTTCCTGTTATGACCGCCCAACAAATATATAATGAACTATTGACAATGGAAGAAAAAGAAGACTAATGCGATACAAACACACATATGCCTTTTATTTGTCCTCTTACTTTATTTGGACTTTTATGTTCTTTCCTCACAAATTCCTCCCATGTAGTTTTCACACTAAATAATTAACACATTTTAAACTATGTACTTCATGCCACACTTTCCTTTGTTTTCACTGAAATTAATTACACTTGGATTTTTGTCTCTTCAAGCAACTCCACTTAAGTATAATTAATACCTGATTGCCTAAGTTAACTAATCTCATTTATCAGTCTTATTCAAACCACTTATGTTTCAAAATAAGAAAGATAAACCTTAGGACTTAATTAGTCTAGGTTAATGATGCATTTGACTTTGACAAGACAAACATTTCTTAGATGATACCCTTGTTTCTAAATTGTGTTTCAGGACACTGTGTTTGTATCCTCAGAGAGAAAAATAGTCCTATTAATTCTTTCGTGAATAACTTTTTTCCACTTAACTTTAGTTAATTAAAGTCATGAAAATATCCTATTATAAATGTATATTAGGATGTGTGTTGATATGATTAATCTTGACAATTTATTACATTATGTTTCAATTGAATTGTTCTGAGGGTCGGTCGTCCTTCCTTGTTCTGCTCTTTTTTGATCTTCAATCATCTCTGAGAAGGTGATCCACTCCAATGGATTGTTGGCCTGCAGGAGTCTGACCCTCAAGTCAGATATGTTTCATAAAGAGATCTATATTTTATTGGGATTGTAAAAGATGATTGTACCTGACATCAGTTGTATTATTTATAGAGTTTGTGACAGTCAAGTCCATTGATTAGTTATCAGTGTAAGGGAATCAAACCCAATAATAATATCATATATTTGTAATGAGTAAGGCAATATAACCTATTAATACCTGATAATTGTCCATGATAATTGCCCATGAATGATCATTAACTAATAAAGCTTTAATATCATAGGTTTCATTCAAATTACTCATTGTCTACTGCTCAATTTACGACTAAAATAAGTTCACACTCTGTTATAAATGTTAGTAATCGATGTCGTATACAACCGTACTAAGAATATTTTATTTTCCAAAAGGTTCTTATAATTCTGTGTAAAAAAAAAAACTAAATCATAACATATCGTTTTACCCGTCATGTTATCTTTTTAAGGCAATAATAATTCATAAAAAATTAAGGATAATTTTATTTTGAATTATTGGAATGAAAAGAAGAAAAAAAAATGTCGTCACTATGTTAAAATGTTTCTAAACTTTGACATTTCAAGGTTTGTTTTACCAATAGTCATATTCCACATATTTGAATTCACATTTGTGAATTCAAATCGGTAATCTCTTGTATATTATTATTAATTATGTCCAAGTGATAAAAAAATCATAAAATATCTTCATTTCTGAAGTAAATTATAATTAAAATAAGATAAAAAATGCTAATAATGTTTTCAATTGCACAACAGTAATTTACAACGTTTAAAATAGCAATAAATAATTATATAGAAAACAAAACAAAAAATTAAAAAACAAGTAATTATTTAAAAAATTGAAGAACACTATATCTTGAAAAATAATGTAAAAGATATATATAATATTACTTTAAAGCAAAAAAAATCATTTTTCATGAAAACAACAAATAGAAATTGAAAAATAAAATCTTATCTTAAAATTAAATTATTATATTAATTATATTTTCTTAATTATTAAATTAAATGTATTTAATTATTAAAACAATATTCAATCAATTTCTAATTAAAAATATTAAAAAAAATTACCATAAAATGGAAATATAAAATTAGTCCAAAATTGAATACTTAATTTGTCCAGTTACTTCAATTGAAAACTAATTAACTAATTCATAATTATGAATTAAATGAAAATATCATTTAATTGAATTCATATTTAATTATTAAATTAAAATTCAATTCATTTCTAATTTAAATTAAAAAAAAATCATAAACACAACTTTAATACCATTAATTGTAAATACAAATTTTTTAAAAAAATGAAACATGCAAAACTCAATTATTGTATATTCCTAACTCTATGGATTGAACTTTAAAATTTAATTATTCATCGATGAAGAACAACTGATCCAAAAAGAAAAAACTTATGGAAAGAAAAATTTTAAAGTTAAGAGAATTTTTAACACTGAAAAATTAAAAAATGAATTAAGTGTTATAAATTAGAGAGTTCAATATATACTATGTATAAAGTTCTTGTCAATGTCAAATATGTCTAAATATAAGCTCCAATTATAGGTTTAAACTCAATTATAAAAAAAGCCCAAACCAAAAGTAAAATGTTAAACCCGCAAAAACTCATCATACACAAAAATACAATTTTATCTTAACTTTCAAAAATCATTACAAAGAAAAAAAAAATCAAATTTAACAAATCATGTACTTATTTCAAAATCCAAAAATGTAAATTTCAAATGATAGTGAATCAGTTTAAAGTAATGAGTAAGCAAATATCATATTAACTAAACATATAAAAATTAATATAATTATGTACATTGAATTCAATTTATTACAATTAATTCAGTTTATTCACAATTGAGATAAATTATTCAAAAATTAAAAGGAAAAGAAAGGTATTTTGAACATGTGATAAAACTATAAATATGTATAGAAAACAGGTGTTCTCGGTATTAATTAAAGAAATATACGGAATTTTCTAATTTTTCTAATTCAAGGTAGAGAAAATATAATTCAATGTGGCAAAATATAATTGCATATAGAATTATCATGAATTAAGTGCGTAAATCTCTTTGATTTCTCTGGCTTTTCTTTCTGAACATCCTCAAGAATTATATCCTAAGCACCAAAGGCTTTATCTTAAATGGGTGATATAGTTAAAAGGAAAAACAATTTGACTGAAGTCAAATACTTTGATACAGAGGAAATGTACTTGTTAAATCAGTATCAACTACAATATTCCACAAGTTCATTATAGTTCCACACCACCAAACGAATTACTATACACACCTTTTGCGTGGAAAATGTGAGTCAAACTTTAGGAATAAATAATCATAAGAGTTTCTTCGCATTAAATAAAGGGTATGACTTTCCGACCACTGCTTTACCGTAACACATTTCAAGCTTTCTATCACAGTTAAATTTTAATAATGTGTTTGGATATTTCAACAATTATATGAAATTAAGTATTTTAATTACTTATAACTAATTTCTTTTTTATTATTTTGTTGGGATTGAAGAATTGAAATATTTTCAATTTTAATTTTTTTTATGAAATAATTTAATTTTTAGTCTAAGGCATACTCAATTTTATCTTTGAATTTGAGATTGATTAGTTTGATTTTTTAATACTAGATTACTCGACTTTTGGTTTAAATCGACTCTAACATAATCAACTAGGGTCGATTGATTTATACTTTTAGTACACGATAATTTATTTTAATTTTCGACACAAGTCAACTTGAATTGACTTTTAACATTAATTGACTCAATTAAACTTTTGACACGAGTCAACTTTAATTAACCTTCGGCCGACATGACAGTAGTTTAACCTGAGTCAACTCAAATCGACCTTATGCTAAGGTCGACTTGGACCGACCTTAACTTTGGGCATCTCGACCCAACTTTTTGTCTAGGCAACTCAGTTTGACCTTCCCAACTTGGTCAAACCATTAGTCCATAGTGAATCGACTCAAGCTTTGGACTAGGCTAACTTAGCCCGACCATTGGCCCAGGTCGACTATACTCGATCTTTGGTCTAAACTGAGTTAGATCGACCATCAACCCAGACTGTTATATTTGGTCTAAGGCGACTTAATTCGGTTCAGACCAATCTTTAGTTTGAGCTGACTGGACCAAACCTTTGACCTGGATTAATTCAACTAGACCTTCGACTTTGACTGGCTCAACTTGACCTTTTTTTCGAGTCGACTTCAGTTAGACCTTTGACACGAGTCGACTCGGCTTGAACCTCGACTCGGACTAACTCAACTCGACCTTGACTAACTTCACTCGACCATCAGTCTAAACCAACTTGACTCAATTCTGCTTGGATTGATTTGACTTAACCTTTGAATTGAGGCGACTGCCCTCGACCTTTGTGAGTGAAATGAAAAGGAAGGATAAATTTTCTATTTTATTCATTTGAAATACTTTTTTGTAAAATTGTGAAAATTTATTTTTTTTTCTAATTACTTTATCCAAATATGTCACTTTAGTATAAAGACTTTTTAGAATTTTCAAATAAATGCATTATCCTTCTGACTTATCTGAAAACGAAAAAAAAAAATCAAATGCTTTAACTATGACAAGTCTTATGTGTAT